TTTAGTACCAGTGTCCAAATTTTCATTTTCATTTTTGACTACTGAAGACACGGTTTTTAACACTTTCAGTCATGCAACTGAGATCTCTAATGAATGTTAGTATCGTTGTAGCACAGAATGTTAGTATCGTTGTAGAACTGTGTCTGATCTTTTTCTTTCTCTGCTTTTGTTTTCTAGCTATAACAGAGTAGATAAAGATATTCTACCAACAATGCATCAATCACATTTGACAGGCTGTAATTAGAAAACTAAAGATAGATGAAAGAAATCGATGACACTTCAATGTCACGAAAAACTAGTCACAAAAATACTTATGAATGATTCTGCAGAAACTTCAAACACTAGATAAACACTGGAACAGCATATGCACTACAGTGTTGGCCTATATCTAAGCTTTCAGAAGATGTACAAGTTGTAGTAGCTCAGTAACTTGGAGAATTACAAAAAAAATTTAACTTGTTTTCCCTGTTGCTATAAGAAGCCATCAGACAAAACTACCAGCCAATGACAGAGCGCAGCTCAGTATGTAGATTAGATTTGGTGTTCACCAAAAACCAATGAGAAGTGACTATTAGTAAGAGACACCTGATTACAGATCAAACAGTCATACCACAGAGAATTTAACGGCAAATTACAATCAAACAATAATAATAATAAAAGTCTTAATAAAGTTAAATTTCCATTTTGCATACGCATATTTGCATCACCTGGCCAATATATACATCATGACATGTTGAGATTGGTGATGAGAATTCCGCTGCAAAATATGATGTTTCTAATTTAACCTAGATTTTTTTGGTAGGCTTTAATTGTCTTTGACATTCAGTTATATTGTAGATATATTTTGAGAATTACTACTCCAGTGCTCTCAAATTAATATGGGTCAGAGTGTAAAGGCAGGATGTCTACATTTAATATATTATATTCTTTGGTGAAAAAGTACCATTTGAAAATATTTTATGTTTTTAGCTTATTCTGTAAGTGTGTCTTTTACATATTTGTAAAATGGGGATGCAGCAAATTGTTGACGGAAATGTTATGGACTGACCTGCCGCAGCTGCAGATAGTTTTCTATGAGGATTTGTCCGTAAAATAACATCCTGCAGGATAATATTAGTAGTGTCCAACTCAGATGATCCTGCAATAAAAACAAAGTAATAGAACACTGAATACTTGCCACCAGAGGGCAATATTACAGAATGTGGAAAGACACTGTACCGGTTAGACTGGCAAAGTCGGGACATTTTTTTTGTTTTACAAAAAGAAATAATTTTCTTTTTTAGTCATTTTAGCGTGATTGCGAAAACTAACCTGATACCTAAAGAAATTCCTACTGGACACATCTGCAGGCATTACACTGATATTAATTATTCATGAAGTCGTTGATTATTCATGAGCGTGTGTGTGAAAGTAAACGTGACCTTTTAAAGGTTGATTCGATTTGATCGCAGAGATGGATACTTTAACTTGTTTAAGTGTAACGGCGATACTTTCACCCATTTTTACTGAAAACCAGTCGATTTAAATATCCAATGTATATAAGTAGTCTTTCAAAATAGCCGGGAACTCAGAAGTGAAAGGTCACATACATTAACATAGATAAGAGATGACGTATACAGATGCACTTTGATTCGTTGTCAATGTTAGTCAACATCTTTTAATTAGCATAATCACCGGAGTGATTTCGCTCCGGTTTTCACTCCAATGCAGATGCGTCCAGTCAGGATTTCTTTCACGTTAAAAAGGCTAAATTGACAATTATATTTTTTATTGTAAAACAAAAAAGAAGTCCCGACTTTGCCAGTCTATGTACCGGTATATTATAGTTTTTGTTCCAGACAAGAAAATGGTGTTCAAAGAAGTAATTTATATATATTATTATTATACATCTATCAGCGTAACACTAAAAGTTACAGCGTTCTGTAACTTTGTGGTTTTTTACAGGGTATTTATGAAATGATTACGCGCATAAGCGTTCTTTAATAATAAAAACAAACATGGCTGGCCCCAGGGTTTGACCGGACTCCACAGAAAGATGTTCACTGATTCTGTTCTAAACTTTTTGGATTTCGACATTCCCATGATGTATCATTGGGAGGAACAGATGCATAATAATAAAGTTATTACGAGGATACCACAAAGTATTTTCAAGATTCGTTAAATTAGTAGATACCGTAATTGGAATACTTAAATTGTAATATAACTAACATATAAACTATATCCACCAGGGGGGGAGTTGCATGACACGATTGGTTGAAATACTCGTCTCATT